CTCCCCACCCCCCTAATTTTTGTATTTTTAGTAGAGATGAGGTTTCATCATTTTGGCCAAGATGATCTCGATCTCTTGACCTCATGATCCACACGCCTCAGCCTCCCAAAGTGCTGGGATTACATGTGTGAGTCACTACGCCCAGCAATTTTTGTACTTTTTTTTCCTCTTCCTTTTTTTGAGTTTTTTTTTTTCACTCTAGTCACCCAGCCTGGAGTGTGATGGCGCGATCTCAGCTCACTGCAACCTCCACCTTCTGGATTCAAGCAATTCCTCCGTCAGCCTCCCGAGGAGCTGGGATTATAGGCGCCTGCCGCCACACCCAGCTAAATTTGTGTTTTGTTTTGTCTCACTCTGCTGGCAGTCTGGAGAGCAGTGGCATGATCTCGGCTCACTGCAACCTCTGCCTCCCTGGTTCAAGAGATTTTCCTGCCTCAGCCTCCCAAGTAGCTGGAATTATAAGCATGTGCCACCATGCCCAGCTAATTTTTCTATTTTTAGTAGAGACAGGTTTCAACCATGTTGGCCAGGCTGATCTCAAACTCCTAACCTCAGGTGATCTGTCCATCTCAGCCTCCCTAATTTCTGTACTTCTAGTAGATGAGGTTTCACCGTGTTGGTGTTGGCCAGTCTGGTCTTGAACTCCCGACCAGAGTTCAAGACCACACATGAGCCACTGCACCTAGCCCCATTGATGGCTACTTTTGCACTCTGACAGAAGGCTGAGTAGTCACAACAGAGATAGTATGACCTGCAGAGCCTGAAATATCTACTATCTGGCAGCCAGATGTAGTCGCTCATACCTGTAATCCCAGCACGTTGGGAGGCTGAGTTAAGAGAATCTCTCAAAGCCAGTTCAACACTAGCCTGACAAGGTAACAAGATCCTGTCTCTATGAAAACAAGAAACAAGCTAATTTTTTAGCTGGCTGTGGTGGCTCACGCCTGCAGTCCCAGCTACATGGGAGGCTGAGGTGGGAGGATCACTTGAGCCCAGGAGTTTGAGGTTACAGTGAGCTGTGATCCACAGCACGCCAGCCTGGATGAAAGCTGCAGTAAATGTGCAGACAGACAGACAGACAGACAGATATAGATTGATTTACATATTTTTACAATCTGACTACTTAATAGAAAGTCTGCCAACCTGAAGATCAAACTATACATTTGATAACTATTTGGGGGATATAAATTAGGGAGAAGAGAATGTAAATGAACTAAATAATCCTTAAGTCCAAAGACTCCAAAAAAGGAATAAAACAGCAGTATAAGAATACTATTTAGAGCCAGACATGGCGGCTCACACCTGTAATCCAAGCACTTTGGAGGCCAAGACGGGTGGATCACCTGAGGTCGGGAGTTCAAGACCAGCCTGACCAACATGGTGAAACGCTGTCTTTAAA